GAATAGTGGTAGGTATCGTAACTACCGAATGTACGCGAAGTATAAAAGTCCGAATATGGACGAATGAATATCGTATATTTTCGTATATCGCGGGCGTACTATATATCGCATCGTGAAACAAAGGCATATAAAAATACACTAAACAGAATGAATAGAATAGAGCCAATGTTCACCACAATATTGTTGACTGGAACTCGGTGAATATAACTATGTGCCAAGCCTCAAGAAGACTATAGCCAATCAGCAGCTTTATGAGTAGTGCTTGTTACGTATACACATTTGCTATAGCCACTGACTTTCAGAAGTAGCAAAACAAAAGCAACTTTTTGTGATGTTATGGTGTTTGGAAACGGTTGAATAAAAACGGGCTCTAGTGCTTCTTGGGTTATATATAGCCTAACTGCCAAGTTATGGACAACGCGACAACCACCCCAAGACCTTCATTTTGGAGGGTCGATTTGTGTAGTTTAGAGATGCCCACGGCCACTTTGTACACCCATTCAAAGACGCTCTTATGATGTTGTGGCTGTTCGCTCGTGTACTGCTCTGAACAGTGGGTTCAATTTAGTAAACTGGTTTCAAACCATTATGTGAGTTTAGTATTAAAATTGCCCGCCCATCGGCGATCTCTCGATGTTCCTATGATACGCCTGGAGCTTATCTTTTGTTCTAATTCAGGGCCTGATAGGCACACCGGAGGGTTTTGGCAGATGGCGTCACCAAGAACAAGTAAATGAATTCTGGAAGCAAAGTCACTATAATATGGCCGAATTGTCAACCCAATCTCAACACTCATCTGAATGTTATGTAAGTTCGCCTTTTTCCAGTTACTCAAAACAAACGGTTATTTCCGTAAATGAGGCTGAGACAGCGGATTTTCATTATTTCTAATTATTTATTATATTATTCAGTTATTGGAAGGCGTTGGTTATATTGCCTTTCTTCTTGATCTACGAACAACTGTTTGAACCATACTCATTCTCATGAATCACCAGGATTAGCTGACCTTCCGAAAGACAACAAGGCTACTGTAACCGGACTTGAATGTTTGGTTAGTTATACCCTACATAGACAGTGGATTACTTTTGTGTGTTTTGTTTCGCTAATAAAGCAATAGAAAAAGTTTTACCGTGGATTGCAGTTTCATCTCTGGAGCTTTAACTGCCCCATACCGGATTATTTCCTAGCATGACCAAAGCGGCCTGATTTGACGTGTGCATTTCATTATGATTTAAGTCTGGGACCTAATTTAAAAGAAGTAATAGGTAAGTATACTTGCTTATCAGGCATAATCGATTTAAAATGCAGCTCCTAACAATTATATTGATCCACCAGACTAAGGTTCAGAGAGCAACTGTCTACTCACCCCGTTTCCTTTGCGAACTATTGTGACAACCGTCTATCAACACAGCCGCAATACAACAGCTTATTAGAGGACCATGAGCTTTTGCTCTTTTGTCTCTGAACTCATCCACCAAACTTCTCGCAGTATTTTAAAATGTATAAACTGCGAATGATTGGGATTATTGCTTGTTTTCTTAAAACATCCGTGCTATAATCCTCCCACATGTTCCAATTTTGGAAACCGTACCCCAACCTTTGTTAAAATACGTGTTAGTTCAAGGAAACATCTAGAAACACCAGTGTTACCTTCAAGATTTTTCGTATTACAAACCAAGTGGCGCTCAATCTTTCAGGTGTCCGATTCGAGTTTTGCCTGCAACTCCTACAGAGACGTCACCATTGGAAGTTCTCTGGGACAGACATTGGCTGCCATTTTACAGTCAATCACGATGTGATCACTAATCCAGATGTTGTAAACTGGTCTCCGTGTAGAACCTTTTTGACGACATTACAGTTCTCGTATATGGTAGTCAAGAGACTAAAAACCTTCTTTTTACATTGAAGCAAATGCAAGAAGTCTTCTTGTTTACGGGAGAACGTAGAAAATCATGAATGTATGGAACTTGAATGATTTGTTCTTTGTCGCTGGGCTGGAAAACAGCATATCCAACAAACTCTGGAGTTTGCCATTCTCTTCGCTTCCATAAGAACTCTTTCTGATTCGTAATGTTTACTGCTACCAAAGGTCAATTAGGCGAATGGAAGGGAACGGGTTATAACAACCTGAATGGAAGCAGTTTGTTTTTTCTCCTGCCGGGGACGCGACAGGTTGCCTAAAGCACATCTTGTGGCGTCTTATTACGTAAAGTTATTGCTGGCTTCATTTGGCAATAATCGCCTACACAAAGGTATTCGGATGGTTGTGGTATTGTGGAAAACGCGCAAACTAAGAGAGATAGTTATGGAAGAAATTATTTTTGCCTGTGTAGAGGCTTTCCTCTGCTTCTGCTGGATACTTTTCTGTGACAAATAAAGAACCTCCCATCCCTTTGGGGACGATAACACCACAGACAACATTGAACCATCAGTTCGCATTAAGGTCCCATGCAGTGTCTCCATCGGTTCCGTCTCGTTTTTTGTTTGGTTTCTGCCCACATTATCACTTTTCCGGACGGCATTTTGTGAAATACAGGACACTGAACCTCTGAGGTGAATAACTGTATCACAAGCAAACTTTACGTTGTGTGTGAACATCATGTTCTTGTCGTTATCGAAGTTCGCAACCACAAAACTCCGTATGATCACAGCAATTTCAAAATATGCGACAAACAGCAAAGTTCAATTAGGCTCGTTGTGAAAAGTTACTGGGCACCATACGTCTGCAGCTTTTTTTTCAATTTTTACGCGTTACTTTACGAGGGAACATATACATAGCTTTGTCAAGGGTGCCTCGTTGTGGACAATTGTTTTTCTTGTTCGCACGGCGTTTGTTCCAACCACTTCAAACTTGAACGACATTTAATTATGCGTTCGAGTTAAAGACCTTCGGCTTTGAAGAACTTATACTCACCACTATTTCCACTTTTTATCCACTGTTTTCACTGTTCCCCACCACAGGTTTGTCGCCACCCAATTAATGTAGGTTGCCCCTATGTCCACTTGGATGAAGGACCAATACATGCCCACTGCTTAATCTGCTATGTATGTGGAGTTCGGCTAACCGACAAAGAATTTGTTGCCCAATATGGTCAATATGCTTGCCAAAAGCATGCCTTCAGTAAAATTTCACACTGAATTTCCGCTATCCCTCTTTTATTTATCTTTTTGAGCCGGCAGAATGGCCCGTGGTGAATATTTTAGCGCCTTTTTGGTTTGTTTTTATTATATTTGTCACAAACGCGGTTCTCTCCTTTTATGGGGTAAGGACTCCCGGCCAAGTTTAGTGTAATGGTGCGTGGGATAATATGGATTTGTGTTCGCATGTGATGAATGGCCTAATGTGTGGTTGACAATTTTAGAGCGACCACACAAAGTACAGTATACAGGGGATGTATGAAGATGACAGAAAATGATTTTTCAACTGAAAGTTAGCGGAAGCTTTGGAACTGAACCTTAAGCGTGGAATAGCCGCGTAACGTGTGGGATCACGAGGCTCCTTATAAACTATGCTAATGAAAAATAGGAACCCGATGGCGACTCCTCGGTTCGTTTCATTTTGATATTGGTCTCACGGACGGCACAACATCGACTGTGGATTCATATCAAATACAAGCTGCACAAACTCTTGCTCGTCCTGTAAGCACTCACTGTACATCGCTCCGATGTATCCTCATTTGAGCAGGTATTGAGTTTCGCTTCTATTCAAATGGGAAGGACTGATAACTTGATATATTATCAAAGTACGTTTTCTTTTATATCACGCAGCGTAACCGACGTCGTGAAAATAAGTTGAATTTTGTTTTTAAATAGCATATTAAAGTGATATTAAGACAAACCAATCTGATGGATTAAAAAAGGTCACGAAGTTCATGTTATCTGCTGCAATCGCAAAATTGTCGTGAGATTGGCGATATTTAAGAGTACAATTTGGATCACTGAACTTTTTAAACCAGAAACCGGGCATATTCGTGCATGAAAATTATGGAATGTGACAAAATGTAGATCCCAGATGGCACCATTTTCGGATTTGATGCAGCGCACGTAAAACAACACTACGATGACATTTTATTGTTTGGAGTTTTTAATTTTTAGTCGGGCTCTCATTGTACTGCGTCGGGGAATTAGGAATACTCGATCGACACTCAGGAAAGCGACATCAAACAAAGTCTCAAGAAGCCAGGATAATATGCTGAAATGGACGTTGGGTCTCTAAGTGATGAAATGTGTTTACCAACGTCCCTTGCTCACTTATTCAGGCGTTTTGGGTGAACAAGTTCAGGTCGATGATGCGCTGACGTAGCGCTATGTCTCGACAACAGTTTTCAAAGACACCAGTCGCAGCATCAGCTCTGTCCAAGTCGATTTCTATCCTCAACTTAAATCTGGGTTTGTTGCCACGTCCGATAATCAACGCAGCAAATACCATAACTGCGTCTCGTGTGTTTCTAGTGTGCTTGTCTGTTCATAGGCAACAGCTGGTGTGTTTGATTCGACTCAGATTTTTTAAGTTGGGTCTCCGGTCCCGGAGACCACTGCTTGTCCGAATTACGCGTTGTTCCGCTGAGGTTCAAAGGTTCATTTCCTGAAATATTTGCGGTCAGATTAGCCCTACTGAGGCGCACTCAGACCTTGAGGAAAAAGACCAAAGAGCGCATCGGTAAGAGGCTAGCCAACATTCTTGCCAAAGGCTGGGAAAAGTGAGATCCTGATTAAGATTTATCCGAACAAAATTTATTGATTCTTCAGTTTTCGACGCCTTAACCCATCTGAGTTCATTAGTTGTCAAACCCACAGTGTGGTTTTGAGATAATGTCATTAGGCTTTCTCGAAAGCTATTTCCGCTGAGGCTATAGACATGAACACAATACGTGTGGATGTATATGGAAGCCTAAATATGGTGACCTCTGGAAGCTTCTTCGTATCTGTTATATTCTCTTTGATAACGTATCAGTCAGACACGTTAGTTCACCGGAATGCAGAAGGCAAAGAACTTCGAGGATATTTTACTACAAGCACGCGTGTCGTTCCGTGATATGGAATTCAAATGGAGCAGAATATAAAAAAGGCTATCAGTTCAATGGAATGTCACTGTGCGGCTGAAATACAGAAACTGGGTTTCAGTTTACAAGATAAATGGTTAGTAAAACGGATTTGTTCGTTTGAAGGTAGTCCTGCTAACAATATCAGTTTCAGAAGTACTGCTGTTTGTTGCTGGTAGAAATACTGAACTTAAGGAAAGAAACTGGAACTCGCCGGTTTCAAATACTTCACTGATTGCCTAGTTACATTTTCACCATTGTACAAAACAGACATAGCTAAACATGACTGAACATAACATAAGCCGAGAATTCGGGACGCTTGCTGGCCCGGCAACAAGACTAGATCCGATTGGTCGAAAGTCTGGACCCAACAGCCCATCATGCTCCAGTATCGGTTAAATGCCGATTGCCAATGACTCATCTAGAACGCGTCAGAAATTCCATAATGTGACCCAACAGCCATCATGCTCCAGTATCGGTTAAATGCCGATTGCCAATGACTCATCTAGAACGCGTCAGAAATTCCATAATGTTGTAACCGCCTACACCATGTATGGGAAGCGCTGTACAACTGTTCCGGACTTCGTTGTGGGCGTTAATATACTTTGTGTACCTTTGGTGGTTGTATCTGACGAGAAAGCTAGCTTGAGAGACTCGGACCGAAAACTGAGCTGAGAGAAGTCCGTTACTACAATTGACGAACGGGAACCCACGATGTCAGTTGAATTTGATCAGCTCCGAGAACTATTGCAGCATCCACAAAAGCGGTTTGAAGATGCGCAACTGTAGCCCATTGAATCACTGACTCAGAAACTGAATATCCAGACAGGAGCAGTCGGTACTGGTGAGCCTTCTGTTACCCCAACTGATGCAGCCGCGGCCTCAATCACGGAGTTCACACACACACTTTTGACTCCTGGTTCAAGCGATACGAAGACATGTTCAAGACTGATTTTTCCAGAGTTGATGATGGATGGAAAGTCAGACTATTTCTGCAAAAACTCGGGGCATGAACTGTTCACAAATTTCATTCTCCCCAAGCTGCCCCGCGACCTCAGCTTTGATGAAACGGTCAGAACAGTGTCCCAGATATTCGGCGATCAAACATCACCATTCAATATTTGTTAACAATGCCGAAATTTGGTCAAGCAAGATGGTGATGACTTCACGTTTGCCGGTGTTGTCAATCGAGAATGCGAGCGCTTCAAGCTCAGCTCGGTGGCGGAGAATCAGCTTAAGCGCCTCATTTTTGTACTTGGTCTCCAGTCGCCCCAGGATGCTGACATCAGAACCCGGCTGCTTAACAACATTGAAAAGAATGCCGAAATGTCGTTGCAGAGCCTCACCACTGAATGTCAATGCCTCATCAACCTGAAGCACGACACGGCTATAATCGGTCAGTTACCTGTGACTTCAAGCAGTAGTGTACAGGCAATCAACTCCAGCGCGCCTAAGAAATCTGACAACAAGCCTGACCAAAGACAGAGTAAACCTCCCACAAGTTGCTGACATTGCGGTGAATGGCATTTTTCTCGTTATTGTCGGTTCAGGCATCACAAATTTTCCAGGTGCAGTCGTCGTGGCCACAAAGAAGGGAGGCTCAGATCGAGAACTTTTCTGAGGGAATGCCGTTACTACACCGTACTTAGCCGGGTAGAAAACCAGGATAAATTCATTAACTTTTAAGTCTTCGAAAACTCCCACAGAAGGCATTTTTCCACACTCATAAAAGGGGCCTAATTAGAGCTCTTATTTAATTTAATGTAGAATAACCCGGCGAAAATAATAAGCTTCCTATGGGAAAATTGCTATCTGGTAACTTCACTTCTGGGTACGTTTCTCGATGTGCGCCATAGTGAAGCTTTGGGTTACACATAAAGCAGTTTCTGTGCTTGACAATCAGAATAGATACTTCTCGTACCCACACAAGGCGTCTCCTTAGGGCTAATCTGTTCTGAATGTTTTTAATTATTATCTATATTTCCCGTCTTAGTTGCTTGAAATTTAAGAAAACGGTACTGGTAAACAACTCATCCGTGTTGCGAGTAGTCCGAAACTAACGTTCTCACACGATGCGGCACCTATCCACAACGGGAACGGTCAGAACCAATTCAGTTGCTATCGCTAATCAGTTACCTAAAACGGGTTACGTCGCAAACAAAGGCATTGCTTTTAGGTCATGAATCTTGATCCATCAAACAGCCCAAAGCGGATAAGACCGCTGACGACCTTCGTAGCTCATGTAACACCGATCCAATTGTTTAGCTCATCTGTGTTCACCAAAAGCAATAACTCAAGCCATCAAACTATTCTGGCTAACGGATAGGGTATTGCGGGTGCCCAAACGAGACACTAGTCTTCCTTAAAGAACTGTTTCACTTTTAACCAAATGAAATACTTCAATTTATAGCATCCCCATACTTGTTACGCGTGCATTGGCCCGCCTGGATGTATGAACTTCTATTAGGCTCAAGGACATCCACCCACTGGCATCCTAGAGACTTCTCGGTAATACTTACAGGTATCTACCGTAGAAGGATTTTCTGTCATCAGGTGGTGTCCTCTGACAGGCCGCCCTCCAGCCGCGAATTTCTTGATTTATCCTCTCGGTATTATTCCTATAAATCAACTACCTCTATCCATCCTCAGTTGTAGAGTTTCGCGATGGATTATCACCACTCAGTCCCTTTTGAATGAACAGCCGAAAAATCAATATTATTTACCAAAGGTGTTATAAACTGTGAAAAGAAGTCTAATCAAGCCGCCAAATTTAGAGTAGTTTAGCTTGGCTGAATCAAAGATACTCAACCTGATTTGTTTCCCGACTGATCACCTCGTTCTTCTACTTTCCGGAGAGCAATCTTTTCGAATAATCGACAAAAACTTGTTTATAAATCAGAGGTCAAAAAGACAGTGCGATAAAGGTGTGTTGACATTCATTTCACTGAAGTAAATGACGTACAGCGAGGGGGGATCAATAGTTTTTTTCTATTGGTGAATTCCCAAATCTCCCTTCTACACTCTAATGAGTCCATGTTGAGGGGCTAATTTGCTTAAAACAGAGTTGTCCTTCTGGAAAAAAAATCCGTTCCAACGACCCTTCTGATCCATTATTCCTGTCGTGTCCCACGAAAGATGCATGAGTATACAACCGCGCACCTCCTAAGCGGCTTATAACAATGAAATAGTGGCTTGTAACCCTTTT